GTTCATGTCATTGTAGGGCAAGGTTATGGGCTCTGCTGAAGTTTATGCATGTATATACATCTATCTGTACGCATGTATATCCATGTATACATAGACGTGCATATGCATTTGAGAGTGTGTATTACATGTTAGTGGAATAGACACATCTTAGATATGTAGAAGATAGGTTCATCAGGCTTCTTTAGATTGCAAGGAATAGGCATATTCAAGTTCCAGTCAGCCTGACCACCGAATTTCTTTTTCACTCCGTTTTGTTTACTTGAACCTACCCCAGACTCCTGATCCAGCTTTGTACGGGGGCAGATTAACATAAAGGTCTTCTTTGTTACTGGGTTCCTCACATGCAAGGAATACTTCCCCTGAACAGGATACTATAGATCGTGCAACTGTCTTTAAACTTCTGTTTAGAAGCACAAAATCCCCTTGATGCTTCTTTGCGCTTAACCATCTTTTACTTACCACTGGCATTCTTTCATAGATGCGAATGGATGATAGTCTATCTACAACAAAGCAAATATGAGCAATTGATATTTGATGAGTTTTCACTCAACTTGTAAGGCATGCATATCATAGCTGTTGTACCTGAAGGATTTCCACGCATTTTCTCCATTTTATCTTTAAGAGATACAATTTGCTTTTGCAATTGATCATTCAGTTCCAGCTGGGTCTCATAACGGGTTTTCCATTCACCACCTGAGTGAAAAGGGGAAAAACAAGATCACCCCAATCCCTCTTATTTATTCATTAAAATAATATGAACCAGGCGTGGGGAGAGGTGCCTGCCGTGCAATATGTGGACAAAGGTGGCTGTCTGTAACCCCAGAACTTGGGGAGGGGCAGAATGGGCAGATCCCTGAAATTCACTGGCCACTCAGCTTAGCTAAATCAATGAGCTCTAAGTTTAGTAAAAGACCCTGCCTTAAAAATAAACAAGCTATTTGAAGGCAGGAAAGGGACTAAGAGAAGTGCAGGAGGGATAGGAGCGGGCAATAGGGGAGGGAGATGAGGAAGAACAAGGTATAATGGCATATGTATGAAAATGCCATTATGAAACCTGTTACATTTTATGTTGACTTTTAGAAATGAAAGGAATTTCTCATTAAAAAAAAATCACGAACCTGGTCTGGTTTTAGTCCATGATAGCATGGTTATAATAACGGAGAATTTACTTCTAAATCACACATTAAATCATTTCTTACCATTCCGTCAACCTCCAACAACTCTCTTGATAGGTCACCTGCCCATCAAATTAAGGTATTGAAGTCTTAACCCAGAGTACCTCAGATATGACTGTATTCAGAAACAGGGCTTTCAAAGAGATGATTAAGGTAAAATAAGTTCCATATGTGGGAGCCCTAATCCATTAGAACATGTGCTCATCAGAGGCGATCAAGACACAGAAACAAAGGGTGGACCTTGTGAACACACAGGAAGAGGCCACCTACTAGCCAAGGAGAAAGGCTAGTATTTATTAGAGAATAAATCACCTATCAATACCTAATCTCTGACTCTAGGCCTCCACAACCATCAGAGAATAGATTTCTGGCTTAACCTACCCTATTTGTTATGAGAGATTAAGAAGACTTAGATTTTAATGTCAGCAGGCATCTTTACTTTTTTATCTGAGCAATGGGAATGTTTCACTATTAAGTATTAAGTCAGTTTGAGATAAATAGAAGTATTTCTTTCCTTTCCCTTATTTTGAGATGAGACAAACTGAATTTTATGAAAAAAGTAAGCACATGCCATTAACACAAGTTTAAAAATGTTTTCTCATTAATATCATTACCTGATCATCAAAGGGGCTTGGAATTAAAACCAAATTATAAATGAAAACTCAAAGGAGCTCAAAGGAAAGGTCCAGGAGAGAGAGAGGATTTTCAAATTGTCAGTATGTGATGGCATTGAATACCACATGACCAGAAAAGATTACCTAACACGTGAGTGCACAAATTGAAGAAAGAAGGACTGAGCCCTGGGACTTTCCAAGTTTTTAGAAATCAGACAGATGATGAGAAATGACAAGTACCCAGCAGTTAGGAAGGCAATCAAGAGACTCATGTCCCAGAGGCCAAGTGGACAAAGGGTTTCAAGGATGAATTTCTGATTAATGCTGGTGATAGGTCAAGTATGATGATAACGGAGTACTGGCTTATCTAAGAGATCATTAGTGACATTGACAAGAGAAGTTTCAGTTGATGGGGGGCAAAAGTTCTCACTAGTGAGTTCAACAGTGAATGAGACAATCATAAACATATTGTGCAAATCTGGCCCATCCCCACTTGGGCAAACTTCCCAGAACACACTAAGCCAAAGTTCATGTCTCTAGATGAAAAATCTGAGGAAGAAATTTAAACCTAAGAGATGGAAAGAAGCAGAGGCCAAGAGCATGGGTTTCACAGAATACCTGGGTGCAAATTCCAGATCTAAAACTGGCCACCTCTGGAGCCTGGAGGATCATCTAGACTCTCAGGCTTTTCACCTATACAATAGAACAATTTTTTTCAAAAGGTAGTTTAAAGGGCACCTAAAGCCCTATGTAAATGTTAACTTTTCTCATTAAAGTCAGCTGAATGTTTTTTTTCCTAATTGTCTTGTTGCTGAACTTTAAGATGAAATTCAGATTTTGCTAAAACATAAAAATCACATTTTGATCAGACTCTAAGGGACAGATGTACTCCCAAGAGCATTTGGGAAACATAGATTAGACTTGATAGGCTTTTAAAAAGACAATTATAAGTGGCAGTAAGGTGAGGATGGAGAAGGTAGAAGGGGCCTGAGTATGATCAAAATACATTGCATGAAATTCTCATATTAATTAAAATATAAAAAGAAAAAAATCACATTTTCTGTACACAGTTTCCCATGCCAAAGGGCTTCAAGAGACCTCTGAAGTTGTTTGAGTTTGGGGTTTAGTCTTTCATTTAAATTAATTGAGTTACAAACCAGATTAGCTCAAGTAAGAGACAATAAGATAGAGTAGAAACAGAAACTTTGTGAAGAGTTTTGCTGTACAGATGGGTATAAGGGGATGTCAGAAGAAGAGAAAAAGTGGCCCAAAGAAGTTTGTGTTTTGTGTTCAGACAAAAGAAATCAGCATGTTAGCATATGATGGGGATGGTCCAGAAGAGCAGCAAAACCCATGCTGAAGGAAAGGGGATGGCTGCAAGTAGGTGGGACTTGTGCTCCAATGGAAGAGTTAGCCTGATAGAGTCCTGCTAGAAGGACTAGGCCAGGCCACGCACAAGAGCAGGATGGGTGGGGTGGGGGCAACGGCTCATAGCTTTGTTAATGGAAATGTGTAGAAGTCTTCTCATGTTCCCTTTCTCTCTGAAAGAACAAGGTAAATTCACTCCTTGAAAATGAGAATAGGGAGCGAGGTGGTAGTTTTGAGGAGTGGAGGAATTTCCTAAACTGTGAGCGTGCTTATGTTGTTACTAGTTCACATATCTTCAAAAGGTTAACACAGTATTATACTTTAAAGTGTTACTATTGCCTTCCAGATAAATAAAAATTTATTACCGTATTATATAGTTTTCCTGCTTTGTATCCTTCCTGAGCCTTACCTCCACCTCCTGCCAGTCTAGCTTCCATCCTCACTAGTCACATTGCATTCTCTCTAAATGGCTTTGTGTTTAGGAACTCTTCAGAAAATTACATATATTTTTAAGGATTATTTTTAATTATGTGCCTGTGTATTTCACCTGTGTGGGTACCCATGGAGGTCAGAAGATGGTATTGGAGCCCCTGGAGCTGGAGTTACTGTGGTTGTAAGGTACCCAACATGTTGGGATCTGAACCCAGTCCTCTGGAAGAGCAGGGAGTGCTCTTAACTAATGAGCCATCTCCACAGTCCTGCAAATTATTTTTACAAAGGTGACTAAAATAATATATGCTATCACATATGGTGAAATGTGACCTTTTCATCAGTACTGGGTATTGAATCCATCAGTTCATATATGCTTAGCAAGTGTTCTAGCACTAAATTATATCCCTAGCTCTGCAATATGACCTTAATGAGTAGCATGTGCTTCTCCAGCCTCTTGAATCCATGAGAATTTTCACCAATAGAATACGGTGAATTTTGGCTGCAGAGATGGCTCTGATTGAGAACACTTGCTGTTCTTCAGAGGACCTGAGATTGGTTTCCAACACCCATGTCCAGTGACTCACAACAACCTGTTACTCCAGATCCAGGGGACCCAAGTCCCTCTCTGACCTCCAAGGGCACCTGCACACAGGTGGCATACACTCACACAGAGAGAAACACACACACACACACACACAAAATACAGCATATTTAGCCATATGCCATTCAGGAAGTATCCCTTTACTGGCCTGGCATGTTTTATATATCTTTTAGTATACTTGCTCAGGATTTTCCTTTGTGAGAAAGCAAAAAGTAAAAAAAAAGAGTTTTGATAGGCAGCCCCAGATGGACTGCCAGTATCAGATTCCAGACATTTACATAAGCTGTCTTGGAATGACCAGCCCATTTGATCCTTCAGATGACTGAATTCTAGATAACACTGGACTCCAACCACAGGGTTGCATAAAGGTGAACCCTGTCAGTCCACAGAATTATAACTTTTTTGTAGTAGATAGGCTTCTGTTACTCCTGACAGTATGACTTGAGAAGCTATTTAAGTTCTTGAATTCCATTTTTGCCCAAGTGGGGATCATAATAGCCATCTCTCCTGACAGTTTCTAGACTTTATAAACATTGCGGAAGGGGTAAAGATTTAATTTTTGCCATTTATCTCACATGTTAGCTCACCTAGGAAAGAACTTCCCACCTTGCCATCCTGGTGTTTTCTCTTTGTGCCCATACCCTAAATCCTCCCCATGGGACCTGTTGATATGACTTCTCGCACAATGGTTTACTGATGGACACGGCGTTTGCACTGCCTGTGTATCTTGAAGCATGTCTTCTGTTTTCCACAACTAGATAGATAAGGACATTCCAGCTATCCTTGTAGTGTACTTATTAAGTGAAGTCAGAGGTTGCCCCTACAGAGCCATTTACAACTCAAACACACATGTGGAGATAAGAAGAGACAGTTTGAGGGCTGGAGAGATGGCTCAGGGATTAAGAGCACTGATTGCTCTTACAGAGGACCTAGGTTCAAGTCCCAGCACCCACATAGCGGCTAACAATCATCCATAACTCCAGTTCCAGGGCATCCAACGCCCTCTTCTGACCTCCACAGGCATTGCATGATGAGGCTGCACTCATATACATGCATGCAATGCACTTATACACCTAAAATAAAAATAATAAAACATTTTTAAAAAGAAGAGACTAGCCATAGACGAAATGATATTCTCCAACTGAGCTTTAACAGCGCTAAAGAAAGCTGAATTTGACTTCAGACTTGACTACCAGTCTTGTAGTCCTCCTTAAAGAGGAAGATAGAAGTAAAATTGGGTTTAAAAACCAAAGCCCATCGCCATAACCCTGATAAACTGCTTCTATGCTCCAGCATTCAGTTCAAGTCTGCCTTTTCTGAACTCACTGCCTTTAAGCCCTCACTCCAATCATATCCATTCCCTCTCCTGAAGTTCCCATTTCTCCTTACACAGAACTCTTCTTTCTCATACACAGATTTTCAGTTTAACATTTTCTCCCGATAGTCAGTGAACCTCTTTAGAATAGTAAAAAGGTCTTCCGTTCAAAGTATTGGCATATGACAGGATCTCATTTAATGTTAATAGAATTAATAATATTTTAAAGATATGAATGTGTATATGTAATACCCGCATGAACCCATGTTCTTGGAAAGAAAACAAGTAGGCAAAAACCAGATATAGATTTTAATCATATTCCATGTCCAGTAATTAAGATATGAAGGGTTATGACTCACATTAACTACACTTGTAACTTGCTAACATTTACCAATGAAGTTACATATTGACATTACATAACAAAATTTTATGAACTGATGGACATTTAGAAATTATAAGGTAGAAACACAATTATATATTAAGAGACTTGACATTCTTAAGTAGTCATTTAAAGCCTTTATTGTAAAATATTATATCACCAAAAAAGCAACATTGAAATCTTGATACTATTATTCAACATATGTACTTTAATGCACAATAATAGTCTGGTAAAATAAACACTGATCATACAAGACTCACATATATAAATATTTACTTATATACCTTCGTGGTTAGTGCTGAGGTTGGCTTCCAGTTCTGCTATTTTGTGCCTTATTTCAAGCACTGAGAGTTGCACTACATCCCTGTTATTAAAAATATTTTAGTTAATAATAATTCAATTAAAGATAACATCGGAAAACTAATACACAGCAACCCATAATTTCAGGAACAGTTTATTATGAAAGATCATTTATTGCAGGCATGATTGAGAAAGAGTTACCAGGAAAACGAAAGTTTCTGATGACTCAGTTCTACAAAGGGAAAGGGCTAGACATACACTAAAGCTCAAAGTACCAGGTAACCAGTGGATGCCATCTACCCTTAATTTAAATATGATCTCAAAGAAGCTACTTACATGTTTCTTAGAACCCAGCAAATTAAGAGCTGCTAAATACTATAGTAAGGAATAGCTATGGCAGTAAGTAATAACAGAGCACACACACACACACACACACACACACACACACATTATATGCATTCCTGAGGTTATTTAGGACATTGGTGATCACAGTACTATATGGTGACAGAACCATTTATCCAATAAATACTTCTGAATGCCCATTATGTTCAAGGTATCATTCTAAAGACAGTACAGGACTGGCAAGATGGCTCAGAGGTAAAGGTGCTTGTCACCAAGTCCGTTTGATCCCTGGAACCCATGTTGTAGAAGGAGAGGACTATGTGTCGTCTTTCCTGGACTCTGCTGGACAGAGTCCCGGCTCGCGACATAGAAGGAGAGGACTAACTTGCACAAGTTGTTCTCTGACCTACACCATGTCACATGCATGCCCACACACATATGTACAAATAAATAAATGTAGAAAAACACAGTACAAAGGCAGGTGTGGTGGCACACGCCTTTAGTCCTAGTACTGGGAGGCAAAGGCAGGCAGATCTCTGTGAGTTCAAGGCCAGCCTGGTCTACATAGTGAGTTCCAAGCTAGGGGCTGGAGCTCCTGGGGGCTACAGGGAGACTCTGTCTCAAAAGATCGAAAAAAAAAAAAAGAAAAAGAAAAAGAAAAAGAAAAACACAGCACAGTGAATATGTGAGCAGAGCTGCAAGAGCTGCTAACCTCCACTGGGTGGTTGCTTTGCAATAAACAGGGCTATCTGCTTTGTATTACATTTCAATCCATCCTGATAATGACCACAGGGAGTATGACAATTTTTATGACAATCTTAGAGTTGCCAAAAGAGCTGTTTTTTTTTTTTTTTAAAGATGTTAAACAAGATCCTATAGTTACGGGGTGACAAGGGCTGAGATTTGACTTTATCCAGAATTCCTCTAAACCACTTGTTCTGAATCTTTACTGACTCAGAGAATATACAGAACCTGTCCTCAGAATGCTCACACTTGGTGCAAGATTTAGGTAAGATATTTAGTACTGAGATAGGAGTGCAAGCGGAAAGAGCAGTATACTATGGGACACTGATTTTCATAAGGCCTGTGAATGGGACTAGGATTATCTATTTAAAAAAATACTCAGGATAGTCAAGGTCCTAATGTGAAATGCTGAGATTATTGCTAATGTTTATTTTTTGGTACTAAGGACTGAACCCAAGTCTTTGTGTGAATGACTCAAGAACTCAACCACTGAGCTATATCCTCAGCTCTTTGATTTTTTTCTTAATTTCTTTTGATTTATTTTAATTTTATGTGTATGAATGTTTTGCCTGCAGGTATGTCTACAGTGCCCACAGAGGCCAGGAGACGGCATTGGATTCCCTGAAACTGGAGTTACAATGGTAATTAGTCACCAGGTAGGTGCTGGGAACCAAACCCCGATTCTCTATAAGGGTAGCCAGTGCTCTTAACCACTGAGCCCTTGTTTTTTTTTAAATTATTTATTTAATAACCACGTGATTCGAAGAAGCTTTTCATTACAGCTTTAACATATTCAATAACGATTTCCAGAGAAAAGATCCCTGAAACTGGAGTTACAATGGTAATTAGTCACCAGGTAGGTGCTGGGAACCAAACCCCGATTCTCTATAAGGGTAGCCAGTGCTCTTAACCACTGAGCCCTTGTTTTTTTTTAAATTATTTATTTAATAACCACGTGATTCGAAGAAGCTTTTCATTACAGCTTTAACATATTCAATAACGATTTCCAGAGAAAAGATGCATCTCTTTCAAAAGCGGCTGTAAGCTTTTAGGTTCACAGTTGAATTAATACAGTTATACAATATTGAACTCAGTATATAAACCCTGTAAGACAAAATTGAATGAGGTTTTAACCTTTAAAAAAAATCTTTTTTTCATTTTAAAATATTGTTTCCTACAGAAAAACTCATTTTTAATGCTACTAACACCTAGATGTTTGCACATGCGTCTCTAATCTCTATGTATCTGATTATTACTAGTCACAGTTGGTTCACTCCGATCCTTGGCACCTGAGTATGGATATAAAGTCATCAGGTAGATTTCAATGGTAATGTTTTTTACCCCTACTAATTAACATGAAGCAAATTTTTGTGCTTCTTCCTCAAATATAACTCATTTTTAAAAATTTGTTGATTTTGTGTGTGTATATCATACAGAACATCCCAAACAATCTTACCTATCTATATACCCACTTCCCAAATGGCACCCTCCCATAACCTCTGCCCCCCGCCCCCGAGCCCACATACTCTGTCATCTCTGTTACTGTCCACTGTGTTGTCAGTGCCCCAAGCCTTTCTTCAGTGCTGTTCCATCCACTGAATCTAGTCAACCTTTCTAGGTTCCTTGTTTTAGGAAGATCAGCTCTTCCTCATCTAGCAGCAATCAGTTGTCAATATTCCTTTAGATAAGCTCAGGGTCTGATGCTCATTTTCCCATTTGTTGATTTTGTGTGTGTATATCATACAGAACATCCCAAACAATCTTACCCATCTATACACCCACTTCCCAAATGGCACCCTCCCATAACCTCCGCCCCCCGCCCCCAAGCCCACATACTCTGTCATCTCTGTTACTGTCCACTGTGTTGTCAGTGCCCCGAGGCTTTCTTCAGTGCTGTTCCATCCACTGAATCTAGTCAACCTTTCTAGAGTTCCTTGTTTTAGGAAGATCAGCTCTTCCTCATCTAGCAGAAATCAGTTGTCAATATTCCTTTAGATAAGCTTGAGGAGTACCCACAGAAGCCCACTTCAGGTTCCAGTCAGGTACATTCAGGCTTCCTTCGCCACATGGAGGCAGGATCTTGGTGCTTTCAGGCCGTCCACCCTCTCAGGTTTTCTGCTAGGATCTCAGCCTTAGCCTACCAAAGCCAGATCTGCCCTGGGGCCTTCAGAAGGGCCTTAGGAAATCCCAGATAGAGGGCTGGGTATTGCACAACTAGTGGACGCTCATCACCAGGTGGAGGCAGAATCTGGGGGCTCTCAGGCAGTCCTCTGCATTCTCAGCCCCTCTGTCAGAGAGAGGCCAGAGAGAAGCCTTGGCACTCTGGCAGTATGCTGAGATCAGAGCTGTTACACTGATGGAGGTCAGAAGCCACCCTCTCAGGTTGTCTGCTAGGCTCTTGGCCTTAGCCTACTAACCTGGCTCCTTACTATTACCAGTTCCATCTATGTGAAGACAAGTCGAAGGTCCTGCTCAACCATGGCTGGCTTTACTTGGGAGCATGAAGGAAACATTTCCTCTGTGTTGACCCTCCTCTTTGTAGACTGGACACTGGTTCAAGTCCATCTGGTGTGGAATCCATGGCCTCCTTGAAGAATAGGACAGGTGACACCACAGTTACAGAACATTTTAAGAGATGTTCAGTAGTTCCCTGGATTGTAGTTGACCTTTGAGTGCAAGGGGAAAAACTGTCCTTTAAGTCCCTCTGACCATATTAGTATAGCCTCAAAGTATGGCTGTTAACTATCCAATAAGGTTAATTTCACCAACCTGGTAGTTTTAATTACCATGTGCTGCATAGATAAAGCTTGGGTAAAAACCAAATGTTCTCAGATAAACCTTGCCTAGATATACATTATATTCCTTGAGTTAGTTGTATGTATAATTTGTCAGTAGGTTCTTTGATTATTATGGTTCCCTCTGATTTTTTAAAAACTAGCTAGGCATTACTTATCTCTTGCATTGTCTAACCCTTCCATCATGGTTTCCCCATTTAAAGTACCCCATTTTTCCCATTTCTCCCTTAATAATACCCTTCTCCTATTGTCCTAACTCTCTTGAGCTCCTTCTTTCCCTTTATCCCTTAGGTTCCTTGTATAACCTTCCCTCCTTCCTCCCCTTAAAATAACTCCATTTTTATCCATATCTCCCGTATTAACAGCTGCTTCCTACTGTTCTTCTCTTTCAGGTTCTTTCTTTTCCTTTACTTCCCTGCTTCCTTTTCATTATCCTGTTTCCTGTAGTTATGTCTGGATACATACTTACTTATCAGGATTTGGTACTAGGATCCACATATGAGGGAGAACATACGTCTTTTTCTTCTTCTGAGTCTGTGTTACTTAGTATAACAGTCTCTAGTTCCATTTTTTATCTGGGAGCCCTTGTTTTGATCTTGAGACAGTATGTCCCTGTGCACCCCAGATTGGCCTCTGGCCTTTTCATCCTCTTGCTTCTTGAGACTGCCACCACATGTTGCTAAAACTAACTTCATTTTTTAAAAAAGTATTTAAAGGTTAGGGTCATGGTTCAGTGGTAGAGTGCTTGCCTAGCATTCACAAGCCCAACTCCCTCACCGCCTCCCACCAAGCATTAAGAGTTCCCATTTTTACAAAAAATGTCTACAGTTCTTAAGTTCTTTTCCAGCAACACAAAAACCTGAATTTAATGGGACATCAAAACTAACCACATATTTCCTTTAGCATTACAGAATATAGGCAACTTCATTATATGTGATCTACAGACAAAACAACTCATTATCTAGGCATTGATTAATCCAAAAAGTAAATGAGGGCCGGAGAGATGGCTCACTAGTTAAGAGTACTCTTTCAGAGTGCCCACATGGCACATGGAGCTCACAACTACTGTAACTTCAGATCCAGGGAATTTGACAACCTCTTCTGCCCTCTTTGGGCATTGCATTCATGTGGTGCCCTACAGACATGCAGGCAAACACTCATATACGTTTAAACAACAGAAATAAGTGCATGAATCCTTCCATAAATACTGTTTTTGGAGATTGTCTGATGAGGCCTGTAATAATCACAACTCGGGTCTCCTCTGCAGCTCAGAGGCCAGGGCTCTAGGGGACACCCAGTGAGGCCTTGAGGGCGAGACAGGGAGCACTTGCCCCAGACTCACTTCATGTGGATCTCCTCCAGCAGCTCCAGCTTAAGGGAGTCAGTGCTCACCCCTTTGAGGGTGTTGCTGTGGCCCTCTCCCATCCTGGTAGCTCAGAGACCTCCTGTGCCCTTGGCACCTTTAGAGCATAAAACTTGGGGATGTCCAGGAACCCAGAAGGAACAAGCCTTGCCAGGAGCCGTCGGCATGGCAATGTCCAGTTGTGACTCACGTGACATCATAGGGCATTGTCCACGTCTGTGGACCCTGGTGGGTTGGCAGCGGTAATATGGGCTGGGCCAGTGCCCTCTTTTTCCTTCCATTCTTGCAAACCGAGTGGGTTCACCCTGGGATCTTTCTGCTCCCTGGCTCCTGCTTTGGGGTGTCCTATTGACAAGATTAGATATAGTTTGGCTCCTCCACCTTGGAGTAGAACCATGAACCCAAATAAATATCTTTAACCCAGTCTGTGGTGTTGTGTTACTAGCTGCAGGAAATGGTCCAAAACAGTGGTCTTTACCTTTTGGCTCTGGTTTATTTTCTTTAATCAATCTGAGATCTGGGCACATGAGGCCAAGTTTTCTGGGTGAAATAGGGTCAAGAGGTCTGTCTGATTAATTGCTCTGTTCCATTTGAATTTGCATGCTGAGAAGTGGAGGCATCAGTAAACAGTTTCAATCAATTACCATCTCTGATTGCAGTAGAAGATTTTAGGAGACTCAAAAGGACCAGGACCCGGTTTTCAACCACAAGTGTTTTTGTGATCCATGGCAGGAATCTGATTATTGTGTGTGATCTGATTATTGATTTTTTTTCTTGTCAGTTATTGGGACTTCCCAGGTTTTTTTCAGATTTGGGAAGACAGAGTGAGTGTGGGGCACCTACACAAAACAGGAAGAGGTAAAAAAAAATTGTTAATATTTTATTATTTTTATTTTATGTGTATGAGTGTTATGCCTGCATGTAAGTAAGTGCACCCGTGTCATGCAATGCCCACCAAGAATAGAAGAGGCTGTCAGATCCTGGAAGTTATGGACAGTTGTTAGCTGCCATGTGGATGTTGGGATTTGAACCTGGGTCTTCTGCAAGAACAGTGTTCTTAACCCGCTGAGCCATCTCTCCAGCCTGAAAGAGATTTTTTAAAAATACCCTGAAGCTCTCTACGACCCACAGGCTTCCAGCTTAAGTCGATGGCACCCTCCGCCCCTTGACTCCCCCAGCCTCATTCACCCTCCCATCTCTCCCACGGGTCTCTCCTCCTAGCCTGGGTCCTGTCCCATTCCTTGTCTTGGCGCCCCAACACCTGGGGAACCACCACTGCTTTTATATCCTGTGTTGAATCCAGACAAACTCAGTTCCTTCTCTGGTCCCCAGGGCACTCTGGGCAACAGTGTTCTTAACCCGCTGAGCCATCTCTCCAGCCTGAAAGAGATTTTTAAAAAATACCCTGAAGTTCTCTACGACCCACAGGCTTCCAGCTTAAGTCGATGGCACCCTCCGCTCCTTGACTCCCCCAGCCTCATTCACCCTCCCATCTCTCCCACGGGTCTCTCCTCCTAGCCTGGGTCCTGTCCCATTCCTTGTCTTGGCGCACCAGGGGGAACCACCACTGCTTCCTGATCCTTTGCATCCACACCAACCCAGTTCCATCTCCTGTTCCCAGAAGCACTCTGGGCCTGGTCCCGCCCTCACCTCCCTCTACTTCCCTGGGCCTACAGGACCGGCCAGGCTCTTTCCTGGACAACAGGGCTAACCTTTCCTCTTTCTGATCCTTTGCATCCAGACCAACCCAGCTACTCAGAGCAGTCCTCAGGAGCTCTTGAGGCCGCTTCCCGCCCCCATCTTCCTTTGCATCTCTGGGTGGCAGGGCCATGAGCTGCCCTAGACCAGTACACGGGTCTCTCCTCCTAGCCTGGGTCCTGTCCCATTCCTTGTCTTGGCGCACCAACACCTGGGGAACCACCACTGCTTTTATATCCTGTGCATCCAGACCAACTCAGTTCCATCTCAGGTCCCCAGGGGCACTGCTTCTGGACCTGGGCCTGCCCTCACCTCCCTCTGCTTCCCTGGGCCTGCATGACTGCC